TGCATTAAAAATATAATAATTATATTGCGTTTTATTATTCACTGCAAATAGATATATATATATATATACCACAAAACAAATTTATAATACATTTATATATGTTACGTATACTATAAGTGTTCTATATTGGCAGTGAGTAACGGAAAGCGGTTTACGCATGTCTCGTTCATATTTCGCGTTCTGTTGGGTAAAAAATGTCCGACTTTTCCGCTACTCTTGTAAATCTAGAGCTCTACGTTGGTGTGCACCCGAATGAAGTTTCCGAACGCAGCCCTAATAATTGGTCGCGTTCAGCAGACCAAGCCGCTCAGTAGCAGTCGAACGTGATTGGCTCTTACTTTTAGAACGAACCAATCAAGGCAGATTGTTGATAAGACGAACTTAACAGTTGTGCAACAATTCGGTTTTAACATTTTTTTTTTATTAAGCGGATTATCCATAATTAATGTAGAGAATCTAAGCCAATTTTTAGTACTTTTTGAATTTAAAAAAGAAACCTAAATTTGAGAAAGTTATAGCTTGCTAAAGTTTCTTTGATGACGGTAACTTCAAAAGATTTCGCATATAAGGTATGACGTCACAGCACATTTTCGTGTACTATATTTTCTTCAATTTTAAAGATATTGCAAAAATTCAAAAAGTTTACAAAAAAAGTATGCCATAATCTATCTCAGACCGTTTAATAAAAAAAATTTATCTTAAAACCGAATTGTGTCTGCTGAACGCGCCCATTGTCACTCGCGCATGACCGAATCGCACAACCAACAACATGGCGGCTGTAAACAATAAACATATGTAGTAGCTGCAACATCTATCCATAACACGATTCATAACCTCTACCAGTCACATTGTACAAGTTAAAAAGGATTTTATAAAGTAGAAGAAAACATAGATCATCACTAAACTACGCTATATAGTCCAAAGGAAGGGTTGAAGGCGTCAATAATTCCAACCGGAATTAACAACCACCAAAAAAAAATCTTAATCCGTCATTTAAATCCGTTGAGTATAGTCAATATTGTGTTCAATTATTGTGTGCTATTATTCTGTTAAAATCCAGTTAGTATATATATATGAGTAAAAGTATGACTGACAGAGGTGGATATCGTTGTGCCTTCAAAGGTTGCCGAAGTGCAAGTAATGACAAACGAGGGATAAAAGAAACTTTGTTTCGATTCCCAAAAGATGCAGAAAGGTCAGTTTATTATGTTACTTGCTTTCCACTTACTATAGGCTTTTAAGGCCGATTGCATGAAGTGTTGAAATATTAGACAGTGTTCAAATATTAAACCAATTTTAAAATTATCTTTGCATTTAAAGTTGAGTTTGATTTTATTTTTAAACCATGTTCTATAATCAGTTATTAAACAATTAATAAAAGTAATATTTGCCTATGTTTCTATTTAATATGACTAAAAGTATGATAAATTTAATTGTTATTGATTATATAACAAAAATTTGAAAAAAACAAAAACATAAGAAAGGCTATTGCTTAAAGGTCAAAGTTATGGGTATCAGCCTGTGATCGAGAGGAATTGACTTCAAAGACAGCCATACAACTTTATAAAGATTATAGAGTATGCAAACTCCATTTTGCAAATTATATGTTTTTAAATTATGAGAAAACGAGATTGCAGCCACATGCCGTTCCAAGTTATATTGTGAAAAATAATGGTAAGTTATTTTCAAATAATACAATAACCAATAACATTAGAATAATATTATACATAATATATAATATTATTTCACAGATAAAAAAGCAAGTTCAAGTAGCTCAAATGTAGAAACACGCTCTATAAACACTTCAAAAATTAAAAATACGCAAGAAGAAAATACTGCATTGGATTTGACTGTATCTAATAATATGGACCTGGATGTACTTATAGACAGAACAATAGCAAATGTATCAGATGTACCAGGAACACAAACGCCTTTGTCATTATCTTCTATATCTCTACGAAAAGTACATCAACAGATAACAGAATATAAAAAAAGAATAAGCAATTTGGAGTTAGAATTACATCAAGCAAAAAAAGCCAAAAATGAAGATATTAATGCATTAGATATGTTACTAGACAAATATTTTCCAAAACAGACATCCGATTTTCTAAAAATGCAAGCACGTCTCTTTCAAAATGCAAAAGGTAGAATATAGCGCTTCATTCAAATAATATTGTTTATCCATATATTTTTCAAGTCCCAAAGTATATAATAACTTAGCAAATAAATTATTTTACCTAGCTGTAACTCTAAAAATATTTACACAAAACTGTCATATATTGTATGTCCCGGATTACAAGACAACGTATTTCAAATATTAAAAATTAAGACTGACAGTTTGTCAGAAATTAATAGATACTGCATATTTTGTATAGACGTGTCTTTAAAAGCACACTTATTTTACAATATAACAACATACCAAGTTATAAGTTTTGAAGACACAGAATTGTTCACAGTTGCCTGCATGTAATGTAGCAGTGATGGTTAAGGGCATCTGTCAATCATAAAAACAACCATTAAGTTATTTATTTTTAAACTTTTACAATTAAGGGCATCTAATTTACTGACAGTTACACCATAAGCAATAAGAAAGATAAAAAACATTGGTTTTTGAAAGTTATTGATCCTACTTCAGATATGGGCTTCAACTTTTATCAATTAATCCGATCACTGGACTGATAACAAAAAAAAAACATATTTTACAATAGACGAAAACACAATATATTACTTTTTTTTATGTATTAAAAGCAACTATGTATCAAGTGCAGTATTTGTTAATTATATCACAGAATTGCATACAAAGTTTTTCGAAAATATTAATATTATTACTCAAACAAATGCAAAATTTTATGCAAAATCCACTATTCAGTTCTCTCATTCTTGTTATATTGTTTATATGTTCTTGTCATGTGTAACATTTTATACGTTATAAGTCGTTTCCATAATAAATACCTATATATCTTCAAATAAATTTAATAACAAAACTTACTAACAATAAAAACTTACACGAGAAAGTAATCCCTGGTGTAACCTCTGCTAAAATTCCTGGTGAACATTTTCTCACAATTTATGAAAATAATTCACAGAATTTCTAAATTCTTTACGAACTTTTTAAATTATAATTATTTGTTATTAGACTTTTTTTATCCGGGACATGCATTTGTTAAAAATGTCTTTGTTTCGCATTTAGTTTTGTATAATTTATTATTTATTTGTTATGCTAATTAATTAATATTTCTAAATATTTTTTCAGGGTACAATAAGAGTGCATCAGTAAACTCAAATTAAAGAGAAAAAAAGAATTGGACATGATATTTAAGTTTATGACTGATCGAAGACGGATACACACATTTGTATTTTGTATATACAATTTTACATCTATCAGATTATATTTTTCTAATCTCTTGCAATTTTAAACACACTTCGATTTAATTCACTTATTTAAGAACTAAAATAAGTGAAGGTGTTCAGACATAGGTATGTGTCCACTAACTGTCCAGGCATTTATACATTTACCTTACAGTGATTTCAACAAAATTGTATTTCAATTAAAAGTAAATAATTAATAAAATCTTTTTACAGTATTTATATATATATATAGGATTGTTATTAGATTATTAGATTTATATCTTTTTTTTATTGTATCGATTGCCTTTCAAATTAGAGCCCGCGCATAACCAGCGCAAAATATGGCGAAACCTATGGCCTAGGGAAGAAGTTCGAGGTCTGTCATTCGGAGTTGATCCTTTTGGGTCCTTCTTGATCTGTCACGATCAATCACGATCTGTCACTAATTTGTAAACAGAAACGACAAGCTGAGAACTTTGACAATTCGAATGAGAAATTTTATTAGAGAGAAGATATTTGACGCATATATATGAAAGATATTTTTGCCAATACTTTTTGCCATTCTATCGCGAAATGAATGCATTATTTTGATTTTTTGGGGTTAGGTTACTCCAACTGACTACAGAGTAAAAAAGCGCCTTTAACTCTGTTCTTGGATTATCTGACAGAAAAGACTCTTGAACCATGTATACTCCTAAATCAAAGTGATTACATTGTTTACATTGTTCTAGATTGTATCAATTTACTCTAGAACTGAACTAATCTAGAACACTAAAATTTGATATTTGAAGTATTAAAGATTTTTCTTCACCATTTTATTGACAATTAATACTCTTTTTGACATACAATGACACGTGTATGCATCTGCTGCAAATATCGTGCGAGCAAAGACGTATCACTGTTGGATGTGTCGCTTTTCGGGTAAGTGTACTTACAATATTAACATTCAATAAAGGTGGTCAGTCAGGTCGAATTAAACAACAATTTTATTAGTTATTACTGGCGAAGTATAGGATTATTTTCTGTCTACTTACAGTTTCTTTACAATAAATATCGTATCTCGTTATTTACTTCGCAATTCATTTAAGGTTCCCAAAGTCAGACGAATTGCTGAAGAAATGGTCGCTCGTGATCGGCACAGACAAGAAGATTACCAGATCGTCGCAAATATGCTCACGTCACTTTAAGGAAGAGGACTTTAGGTACAGTCTAGTCGGAGGCAAACGTTATTTGAAGAAGGAGGCGATACCGTCCCTCCATCTAAACAAGGAGACCAAGGATGAGACAGTTTCGAACAATCAAGGCACAATAATTAAAGAAAACCAGTCAACAAACACTGCTGTAATTGAATATAACGAGAGAGCCCCTGAGAACAAAGTTTCAAATATTGTAGAATTACATATAAAAGCTGTAAGAGACGACAAACTGTCCGAAAGGTGAGAAATATTTAATATGTAATGATGCTCGGGTATTTATAAAAGTAAACAAAAAGTACTAAATACAAAATAATTAATAATAAGTGAAACACGACCGTTATGATATACAATAAATTAGAGAGAAGAATGCCATTTACGGTCTGGACTAGATCTTAGTAGTCTAATAATATTGTGTGAAAGTATATAAAATTCACACAATATTATTAGACTACCAAGATGTGCAGTCCAGACAAAATCCGTAAATGGCATTTTTTCTCTCTAATAAAATAATTAATTTTTTGTGTAGACTATCGCTCGCTCCAGCAGGCCCAAGTGAGCCGGAGAAAAACCGCAAAAAATATCTGTATGACGTTCGATGGGAAGAAATCTCCACATCGTCAGTGCAAGCTAAAATTTACTGGGAAGTGGTGATAAAAAAAATCATGCGGCAAAAGCTGGCCGTAAGACTTTTGCGACGGCAAATCAGGAGACTAAAAAGTCAGATACTGAACTTACAGACTTTAGTAAAAAAAAAGCGATTACACACACGGATATCTAATAAGTGTTCAGAAATGCTGTAAATAATTAAATGCTGTAAATAAGTTTTGCGATGGACGAAAATTGTCATGTACAGTGACAATGTGATTATATTTAATATAAATGAATTTTGATCGACGTATTGTATGTTAAATAAACCGAATTTAAACGATTGGTGTTCCGAGACTCATCGAAAAAAGACTCAACCTGTTTATGCTGCCAAACATTCAGAACTAAAATCACTAAATTCCTAGAGATACACAAGTATTTTTACGTAATATTTTCTTTAAATTCTTTAAACATTTTCTTTAGATATAATTATTTAATTATATCTAATTAATTTCTATAAATTAATGGCAAAAATAGGATCCGAATTACGTCCCATGATAGACATGGACAATCATCATGAATCTTGATATTTAGTTATCGTCATCTCCTACTAGGTGGCTCAGTAGATACATAGTCTGCCGTTTTCTTATATAGTAACATGCGAAGCAAAAAGCACTCGCGAGAAAGTACTTATAATTTTCTAAACATAAAATAATGTTAAGTAAATGTATAACAATAACTTTTTCAGGAATGATAAAAAAGAATTGCGTGTGTCATTTTGCTCAAAATTAGAAAATACGATATTTTTGTTATATAATAAATATATATATGTTTATATATTTTATATAAACTTTCTAATAATAATTTGACATTTTATATACATATAAATTTATATTATACAATACTTAATTATCTATTAAATAATTGTTGTATAATATATCGATCTGTACCTTAGAGGTAATGAATCGTATTTCCATTTATTATGAATTTAGAGAAAACAAAGTTTAAAGTTTTAAATAGGAAAATGATATATTTTTTTAGATATAAAATAAAAGTAGCAACTTGATTTATTGAGTTTTTGATAAAGTAATTTAACTATTACTTTTTCTAAGCATTATATCTTAAAAACTAGTATAATAATAGACGTAAGACGTTTTACCATTATACAATTTAAACTCTCGTTATATTGAAAAATTAACTCCATTTTAGCAAAAACTGGAGATACGAAAAACTGGAGATTCTTTACTTCTAAAATACAGATATGTGTGTATCTGTATTTATAATTTATATTCAATTACATTATTTATAATCAATAATGATAATCGATAATTGATTATAAATAAATAAGCCAGTTAATGTTATATATAAACAAATAAAGAAAGCACGTTAGTTATCACGTTTTACATTTTAGCCTTTTTATAGTTTTTAGTTTTGGATTTATTTATAGTCGGGTTATTTTATATCAAATTTTTAAAGCAAAAAAAAACGATCAATATTTCGCTATTCCTATATTCTGCTTCTATCTATCTATCTATGTATTCTATCTGCCTCCGATTCAAATCTGAACTGCTGTAAGCTCGAAAATGTTTGTCGACGATCTATCGATGACAAAGTGCGTAGGACAAGCTTTGAAATAGACTGTGCAAACACCGAGCGACTTGTGATTAATGTTTTTGCAGACGGCCGTTGTCGAGGACGAGCCCATAGGGAGCTCTCACTGTTTTGTAGCCGACCATTTGCCACTCACCCTCTGGACATTCGTTACGAGTTGTTGGGCGTTTCGATTGCTGGCATCTTCCAACTATTTGGAGACCGTGTTTCTCTCGATTCAATGCGAAATTTTTCAAAATAAAAAATTTACTGAGAAACGTTGTCTTTAAATTCTTCGATTTAATATAAAGTTATTATAAAATATAAATAGTCAAGTTCAAGCTATAAGACTTTAAAAGTTAAAGATCTCTTTTCGTGCTTTAAGGTTTAACAATCGAGATATTTAATATTGAACATTTGAGAGAGAGAGAAAGAGAAGGATTTGGAGAATTTATAAAATATTGGAATATTATAAAACAGTTACAAATAATTCCGTTTTTTACTTTAAGACGATCTTGTGTGAAGGAAAATTGACCTCGACCTCGTCGAAGAATCTGTTATTAAGATTAGGGTCTAGGAGACACCTTGGTATCGCTGTTGCGACAATAGGGAAATCGGAAACTTTCGCTCGCACCCTCGAATTCGAGATGCTAATTGGTGGGTGGTTAGCCCGTAGCCACCGGCAAGTTTTCCGAGATTTATGAGTGCGCGGGCATTGCGGCTAAAGGCGTGAATAAGCTCGAGTCATGGCCAGGGAAGGGTAACACAAGATTTTGAATTAAATGTCAACCGCACGATGAGACACGAAACTAACGTCTCGCCGCAATGTCTGGCAATAACGACGCTTCTACAACTTCGCGCATTATTTCCACCTGGTAATAAGTTAACGACGAATGTTTCGCGATCTTGAACGACAAGTCAGTCGGTTATAGACGAGATCCATATATCTGGCCAGCTCTATAGGGCCATATATCCGTCGCGAATGACGATTTATGGGTCAATGGACTCGGAATTGTAGAAATCTAGGTACTATGAAGAGGAAATAAAGATGCAAAAAAAAATCTAGAAAAGAAATGTAGAGTAGGACTTTAAGAGTCACAAAGAAAAATTTAGAGAGAAATTCACGAACTACCTAGTATTCTAAAATCTAAGGATCAACGATTTTAAGTTACGAGGAAAAGTAGAAAAAAAAAATAGAAACAAATATTTCATTTGAAATTGAAGTAGAAGGCTCTGTTATTGGATATCCACAAGTATATAGAAAAGGGCTAATTAAGAGCGTAATCTTCTATATTTGTAAATTTCATTTGACTTAAAAATCTCTCGTATAGAGTAAAATATGTTTTAAATTAAAATTATGGAAGAGGTTGAGCTTGGACAGGAATTAGGATTATTAAATATCTTTTTTTTTTAATAAAGATAAAAGTAGCCACGTGTGTTACACGGCTTGTATTTTTTATAGTTTCTGTGTGCCAGGTGCACGAAAATTACAAACAAAATTTCAAAACACGGTTTCGTCGTAATTATCATTTGTTCACCGGCTGGTGTCATTTATCGCTGCTCGCTCGCGCCCGAGCGAATCTCACGTTGGTTTATTCACGCACCCGTATATACGCTACGTTAAAGTATGAAAAATGACGTATCTTGCGTGGCTTAATGGTCCATCCCCTTTTTCCCACGCGCGTCGTTCGCGCACCGCGGCGAATCATTTTGGAAAATAATGATGCTATCGGTGGATACAGTCTAAAGATAAAATATCTTCGTTGCGAATCATCGAGGAGAATTGCCATAAAAAAAGCTAAGTGCCGAAAATAAAACAAAAGCCTCAAGAAATCTCCTTCTTTATGATATTATCCCCTTTCCTCGAACATCAGGTTGCCCACAATTTCTCTCCAAACTTCGTGTTCAAAAAAATTCTATAAATAAACGTAACGTGTAATAAATGTGTGATACGTGTCTCCACTTGAGTGGCTCTCGTCCCATTCCCCCCCCCCCCTTTAAAAAAAGTAAGAAAGACGAAGAGGAGCTATAAATTGGGGGTGACGAAACTCGGCAAGATGCAAAGACCGTGGGGGCAAGTGCAATGAAAGTGCCATTTGGTACAGCACACACGACGCTCACCCCTACGACTGGCACGTGCCTCGAATATAATTTATTGCAGTTGGAATTTTGTGGGGTGTCTCGCGGATCCCCGGCGTGCTCTTTGTACCTAGCGACGGGTACAAGCCACTTCTGTTGTCTGCTCGATATACGGGATCCAGCTTCTGCCAATAATGACGATCACTCGACGGTGAGTGTTCGGCAAAACCACCTCTCTTTCCGTAGGGTAGAAAAAGGGAAAACAGACGCAGAGAATCATATAATATATAAGATTACGAGTCGTTTTAGCAAAAGATAAAATAAAGGCGTTAATCTAAGAAAATCGTGAATAATTTTCTTAAAAAATATTGAATAGCGTTTAAATTTGTTACATTTTTTCAAAATGCGATAGGAAAAAAGAAAATGGAATGTAAATTCCTGCATCTATTCAAAGCTGATTAAAATCCTGCACAGAAAAAAAAGAAGTGTTAAATCAAGACTCACATACTTGGTATATAAGCAAGAACCTATAATCTTCTTATAAGAATTTCAACTTTATATTTATTTCAATTTTTTTTTATTAAACTATATAAATACTTTTATTTAAACAAGTTCTTTTCGTTTAACGCAATTTATATCTCATTTCAAGATTATAGATTCTTGCTAGTATATAATTCTTGATTTAACACTTCTTTTTTTGCGTGTCAAAAGCATCAGTATCGCTTCCTAATAATTCGTGATAATTAAGCAATTATTTATATTCTTTTGCGCAGAACATTATTAAGAAGTAAAATTTGTTTCTCTATCCGTTTAATAAAACGGTTTCTCAACGGTATTCCTAACGAGCTTGTTTTTCCACCCCCGTCGTGACAACCCGTTTGAAAGGAAGGACACTCGTGAACGATATATCGACTTCATACGTGTCGCACTTGGAAATCGCGATGGTTTCGGTGGAGCGTCCCAATAATTCGGATCTCGTATTTTGCCGAGAGCACCGCCCGGGCGAATCCCGGCTACCCTCATCGCCAAAACAACCACCCTCGCGTACGTGAGCGGGATGAACAAGCGGGATCAGGCGGGTGAGTGGGCTCAGCGGGAGGGAAGATCCCGAAGTTTTTGAGTTCGTGAAAAGTTCGACGGTCCCTTCACACGTCTTAGATTCTTTTTCCAGCAGAATGCCTCCTCCCGTGCCGTGCAGCCGCGATCGAATCGCCCGCCGTCGACTTCGTTTGATTCGAGTTTATTTTGGACTGTTCATTATCCGACCTCGAATAGCACTAACCGAACTAGAACGGATCGACAGTAATCATATCCGAAATAAAGATAATAATAATAACCGTATTAAAATAATCGATTTAAGAATGATCCCTGGCAACGCGCGCTTTGTGAAATTACGGCAAATGAGACTTTCTGATCTTCCGATCTTTTCACATCTCTTTCCTGGTCTTTTCAATCTTCAAAATCAGTCTTTGAAATCCTCGAATTTCTTTTTCAGTCCCCCTATGGCCCCTATTAATTTCCGTACATTTATTTTCATTTTCAAAAAGGCTATGGAAACTGGAAATTAGGAAATGAATCGCATATTTAGGATCAAATTGAAGCGGAGCTCTTTCAAATTGCAGACATGAATTTTTTTTCTACACGCTGCTTGGCGAAAACGCCGAGATTTTCCTCGAATTAAATGGCACCTTTCGAGATTGCCCCTTTCACCATTTCCGTTTGTGATATTCTTAAAGCGTATATTAGCTTCCGTCACGAGTCCCGCGGGAGCAATCTCCTAGAAAGTTTCATTCAAGTTTGGTTGCCGGTTATATTCGTATATCCCTCCTGTCGTCTGTCCGTTAGGGAAATCCGAGATGAGATCAGTCACGAGATTTATCAATTTATATCTCATCTAATTTGCGGGTCAACTCGCTCTGGTTACATATATTTACCGAAAGCTACATATATTTTATGACTCAAAATCGAAGCTGGTTAATCGATACACAGAAGAAAAAAAGTGTCAAATTAACACTGATATGCTTGTAGGTATATATAATCTTCTTATAAGAACTTCAACTTTTTTTTCTTAATTGAACCATATAAAACTTCGTTTGACTTATATAAATGACTTTATTCAAACAAGTTTTTTTCGTTTAATGCAATATAATCTCATTTCAAGATTATACATATATTCTTGGGTATGTATACAACTACATCAGTGTTGAATTGACACTTCTTTCTTTTCTCCATACGTGCCACAAATAATAAATGTAATATATCGTGTAGTATAAGAGTATAAATAATATCAAGCGCACTCGTGAGTGCGCTTGATATTATTCTCTCATAAACAATTTTTAATTTTAATTAAACAATTTTTAGACATTTTTAAAAATCTTGTCTTTCATCTAAAGACGTTGTAAACAACGTTTGTGGAATCTAAACTGACGAATGTGTTCTGCAGAGGAGGTGAAATATATCATTGCTAGAGGTTCTCGTTAACAATATCGGAGGGCTGCGTGGATTCTGCGTGATGCATCGAGAGCATCACGGCGGGGGCGGCTAGGGGGGAACGGCGCGCGGACGAGAGGGAGAGGGAGATGCTATAGATGTTACTACTGGACCGAAATCTGGCCTCAGTCGTGCGCGACGCGCCATATGCGGTGGACCATTTGTCAGCCCGCTCACAAAGGCCAATAATCTCGCGTGACACGTGTGCCTGCCCCGATAAAAAGCGTTACGTGTCGCGCGCTGGAAGCGTTCGTGGAAAAAGCTTTTTCCATCGCGACAGAGGGAATTCGGGTGTCGCACGGTGCGCCACGGGGCGCGTGACACCGGTAATATAACGCGACGATAACCGGATAACTCATTTCTCTATACGTCTCAGGTATATCGAATATCGATTAAATTTAGTCGCCGAAAAAAAAGTTCCTATAAATTATTATTTAAGTCGCGAATCTACCAAAGTAACCGAGGTCGGATTTGAATTTCATCGATCCGCGAGAATGTTCTGGCTCTGCATCTCAATAATCTGGAGCACGTGGCAGTCGCCGATGAGGAAGGCACAGGGAACGTCGTGAGCGACTTCGTTATATGAAATAGGTAAGTATTCATACTTATACTCATTTGCGTGCATCTTACAGATATAAGTAAATATGAATGACTCACTTAATATGATTAATAATGTATATAGGTATATTATATAATAATTCATTTATATTTTCGCGGTGATCGTTACAATTACCACAAGTTACCGCTTGTACTCCCTCTCCCTCTCTTTATGCCCGCATGCAAATGCGCTTTTACTACTAATACTATTTATTTTGATTACTTTCGCTATTCACGATAATCACACGCACATAAATTCTTTATTCAACGTATCACGAGGGTAATTTCAATGACAATTAAAGTTTAAACCTTTCGATGTAGAATTAAATTGCTTAATGGATTCCACAGATTCCTCGGAGTATCTGCAATTAAAACTTGATGCAATTGCGACGCGCCACCATCAAATAATGCAAACTTTCGGGAAAATTGATCCGCTTAGCGAGAGCTTACTTATTTAATTATCGAAAGCGTGTCATAGGAAATTAAAGAGCGTCGTACGGATCACGTTGCAAAGCGCGCAAAAAAAGACAGAGAAAAAGAGAAAAAGAGAGAAAGAGAGGGGAGGGGGAGAAAGCGACGATATACGAGACATAAACTAATTTAACGGCGTGCCGAGAAATACCGTTATAAATATACCAAGATTTAGATAATTACGGGGGGTAAGACTGATTACACGCCCAACCCGGGCGGCCTTACATTTATTAGGGGCGGACAAAGCGGCCGAGATAAGAGCGCGCTGAATCACGGCCCTGATGAGACACGAGCGTGCAAATGTGTTTTCGGTGTAGCCGCGACAGTACTTAACAATTGCCCAAAATAACACCAGAATCTCTCGTGTGTCACTCCGGTGTGGAAAATGGCTTTTGCGCCGCGCGTGCCGCTAAATTCGGACCAAATCGAGAATCGAGATGTGTTCATGTGTGCATCATGCAACGCGATGCAACGATTCGGTCGACTCGGCGCGACAGCGTGCATTCATTTGCTTACCCCGCGCTATCCGCAGACCCTTTGACCGTAGAAGTAATAGTCAGAGCGCAGACTGAAATATGTATCTACGAAATACCCGGGAAACATATCGCATCCCGAGAAGAATACTGTCACTACTCAAAAATACACAATTTTCAGGAGAGAGGAAAAACAAATTTGATTCAATTTTTTTAAATCGTCAGATAAGTATAACGTAATTACAATTACGATATTTTGTTATAGTAAAACTTATATTGTTCTTTGAAGAAGTCTGCTGTAATTCACTTGTCAATTCACTTATGACGCTATTCATTCAGGAAACCGCAATATATAATCGGTTTATAAAAATAATAATTCCCCGTGCAGCGAATTTCGTTCACTAAAAAAAAAGAAAAAAAAAAGATTGTTTAGTTGAACTAAAATGTCTAGTTGAACGTATCGGATTAAATATTTTTTCGGAATAACAATTTTTTTTCAGTATACGTAGGACTTGTGACACTATTATAACATGTAGATAACATTTTAGGAGCATCCTTTTTATAGACTGTCAATATTCTTCTCGAGGTGCGATGTATGTGAATTAAAAAAAAAAAAAGAAAATTGATAATAATTAATGCACACAAAGTGTACGATATTTCAGTTACAATATTTTAGCAATCGTAATGAATTCTGATTTCAACTCTTTGAAATAATCCATTTACAAACAAAATTTTTCCATACCATATTAAAATGTTTATTAAATGTCACGTCATTTTATTATCTTCAAAAATAATTGCACGCGCGGAAGATAATTATAAATAATTATAACAAATACGTAAAATAATAAATGAATTACTCACCCCTGGTTATTCTCGCGCCGTTCGATGCCTCCCCGGCCTCCTCTTCACTGTTTTCTCCGGTTTTCTCCGTTGTTGCTTCTTCATGTCACAACACTCATTCGCGAAAATAGAGCCTATTAGTAATTACATGCACAATGCATTTTGCGAATCTCGCAAAATATCCGTATTATTAATAAACAGACGTATCACGACTTGACGTTACTTCGAATCCGCGGATTCGCATGTTATTCTGCGATTTTAATCCGAGAGAACGACGGTCGAGTTACAATGAGATGCGGAATATCCAAAACGCGACGGAAAATCTATTCCATGTCAGGCGTCGTTAAAAGGATCGCTCGTATAAGCGCATCGTAAATGAGACAGTAATTTATCGTAATAACACGTATCAATTTATAACATCGTGTTCTATACCGCTTCGATTCCCATTCCGAATGTACGAGTCGCGCGTAATATCTAATTAATATCTCTATAATTACGCCTGAATAAGCTTACGCGGGTCATCGAACGCGGCAGTCGATGTTTGGTTGCTAAACGATCGCAGAAGGAATAATCGCAAAGGAATAAAATATTTTCTTCGACACTATTTGCATCTCGAAGGATAATATTTGCAACGGCACACGGAGCGCACTCGTGCCAATGTCTTCCCGCTCGAGCATTTTGTCGCGCAAATGACAAACGACCTTGTATACAGCACGCTGTACACCGCAGATAACTGCCGACGCGCCTACCGCGCGTTGTTGCACGAAGTGTTTTGAACGCGTATTATGCGCAAATGTGATATTCTCCGTTCCTTTTCATCTCAAACTGATTTCGACGGATGGGTTGTTATCGCGCGTCTCGCGCGCGCTCCGTTTCGCGAAACTCGTTAGCGTCGCCCAAGACAACGATCAATATCCGCTCGATCATGAATTAAAGAAAACGCGTGAAATAATTTGTAGCAGTTAAAATTTGCTATTCGTAATTAGTTTATCAAGTCGTTCGCTTATAAAAACCAAAATATTTTTTAATTGCCAGATTTTACTGTAAATTATCGCAACGTAATCAAAGTAAATAACATCTCGCTAATAAAAAAAAAATTCAAATAAAAATTATTTTGGTCGATCGAGAAGTACAATCCGAAAATCAGTCTTATTTTATTTTCCTTATTACCGCAAATTAGTTAGAGTCAGCAACTTGTTGCGCTGTCGTTTCTCATTTGCGCAATCCTTTCTTATTCTTCGATATTCCGACTTACAGCGACGAGAACCGATTACGAGCGCGCGTGATTCTTCCGCTCGGAGGAAAAGATAGTCGGAGGACTCCGAACTTCCGCGTCTCCGGGATAAAAAGGCCTGATTATCCTTTCTTTTTTTTTCCTCACGGATAGTTCGGCCACCGCGCTACCCACCCGGGGAAGAAAAAGAGAGAGAAGGATCTCGGAAAGTTCTTAAAGACTGACGCTATTTCTTCGGGAGGGATCACTGGCCGTGACCTGTCTCTCTCTCTCTCTTTCTCGCTTTCTCTCCCCGAGATGGCTCAAACAACTTTAAGATTTTTCGTCGCGTCGTCTTCCAAAGTTACAAGGCTTACATGTATATCCTTCGTTCTTACTCGCCGCTTATCCACCATCCTTCAACTTTATCCCGCCTTTTATTTTTGCGCCGTTCGTCTCCGCCCGTAAAGAGGAGATACGTCGAGAGAATCTCAAATGAGCGGGCGAATTAAAAAGGAAGAACGATCGAATCAATTTCGCGAAAACTACGAACTCTCGAGTCTCTCTTCGGTATCAGTCTCTAACGTTCAACGCGATAGTTAAATTTGTACTTATTTTATCACTAATGTCTAATACCTAAAGATAATTAATGAGTTAATGACCGTCGAGATAAGATCGCGAGATAAGTTCCCGACGTGGACGTTTTTCATTTCGCAGATAAGCGCACCTCACGGATAAGTTCGCCGCTTTTACGAAGGGTGAGCCTCCGCGATGAGAAGAGCGGAAAATGAGTAAAACCGGAAGACGAAGAGGACGTGAAGCAGGGCAAATCGCGCCATAATACACCGCGGGTGAAGATGAGATCGGAAACTGCGTTGTACCTGCTCTCGCTGCTTATCCTGTCGCTGAATGATCCTTCGTGGGCCTCTGCGGAGATCAGAGGTTCGTCGACACCATTAAGTTTGTTCGCTAATTAGCGCTGCAAACAAGACATTGTTATCGGTTATTATCGAGTTGTAGATCAGCGTAATTGTGGCTTTCTATGTTTAACAAGCAAATCTAGTTTTCTTACAATAGACGCATCACATTTCTTCTTAAATAATTTATTTATGATGTTATTCGCGTCGATGTGAATATGTTCGAGCAATTCGCGAATAATTTGATTGAAGAGAAACTGCAATTCCGGTAGAGAAGCCTCGGCGGGAATGAGATTGCGCAGCTTAATGAAGTACGAGGGCCGAAGCTCCATCGGGAAAGAACCGTTGATCACCTTTGTAATGGAATAACATTCGCCTAGATCGAGGGACAACGTATTTAGCACTATCCGTTGAAATTGCTCATGAGTGCGAGCAACAGATTAAATAACGTGCGTTTCGTCGTTTAAAACAGATGAAAAAAATTACGATTGCAACATTTCGGAATTAAGCGTGGCAGTATCTCTCTATGAGGTGGTAATGATACAATTAAAATACCCGTCTCAAGATGCCTGACGTGTTTTCCCTGTATTCGACGCGTTAGAGGAGCCGCTAGTTGATGACTATTCATGTCCCTTGTAACGAGAAAATCGTTACGTAGAGAAGCGTATACCGCCCGAGGATACTTGATGTAATTAATCGTATGCATTGTCACGCGTTTACGCGATACGGATGGTCCGCAGCGATCGTGCACCACTATCAATGG